TCACACACACACACACACACACACACACACACACACACACACACACACACACGGCACGGAGGGCAACAAAGGAAAAGGAGGGAAAGGGCAGAGGTAATAGAGTCCACTTTCAGGAACACATGGAGGGGGGAGACCTGCCCACCCTCAAAACGTTGCCATCACAGAAATGCTATTGGTGTTGAGGTGCCTAGAGCAGATTCTCCAACACCTGTATGCCACCCAGTTCCTGGGGGAAGATGGGTTCATGTGGCACTGAGCTCCCAAGTCTGCTTGGCAGCACACCCAGAGAGGGAGCAGCCTGGGATTGAGGAGAGGGTCCGGTTGTGAGGAGGCTAATGTGTCTGCATGTGTCCTTACACTAACCTCTCTGCCCTCAGGCCCTGAGTGTGGCAGGGTCATCCAAGCATTGCTTTCAGGCTCTCCTGGGTCCTCATGGGAAACTCAGGGCACAGTGGAGGAAGAGAGGGAAAGAGGAAGGCAGACAGCAGGAAGGATTCTTGGCCCTGGCACCCAAGGATACCGAGAGTGAGGACAGAGACACAGCTCTGGCTGGGAGAAGCAGGAGGAGAGAAGGGCTCAGTGGGAGTCACCAAGGGTGACTCAAATCAGGGACCAGATGAAGGGCTACAGGGCAGATGAGCCCATAGGCAGTGCCCTGCTGGGAGCAGGCAGGGTTATGTATGTATATACCAGACCAGGTTCTGGATGTGCGAGGCCTCGGTTGGCCCATCTGTGTGAAGGGGCTTGGTCCAGGGCACTGTGCCTCCCCCTGGTCCATGGCAGAGGCCTCCCGGGCAGCGAGGTCGCAGTGGGGCAGCACAGTGGTGGCCAGCAAGCCCTACCTTGATCTTGTGCAGTGAGCGGTCCATCTCCACAGCCTGCACCCACACAGACACGCCGGCCTTGCTGTAGGTCAGGTTCCAGCCCACCTCGGCCTCACACTCTGACCGGAAGCTTCGGAAGTCCTGGTCGTCCGGCACCTGGACGCTGTCACGGCCCAGGACTGGCCGGGGTCCTGGGGGCTCCGTTGAAGCGGCTGGCTTCTCCATGGGGCGCGTGGGGAGGCCCAGGGCCCTGGTCCTAGTCTGCCTCTCCTGGTCCTCCGCGGAGGCTCCGACAACGTCGTCGACGCGGCTGCAGCTGCTGACGCCACCTTCCTGGGACCTGCAAGACCGGTTTGGGAACGGGAGTCAGTGCGCTGGGGGCGCGGGTGGGGCTTTCTGGGGTCCCTGGCGGCTGGAGAGTTTGAGATAAGCTGGTGCGGCGGGCAGGCGCGGGACAGTCTCGGGGCCACCTCCCAAGGAGCGACCCCCAGCCCTCGCAGGGGCGAGTGTGGGAGCTGCGATTCGATTCGGCAGCAGGTTCGATTCCATTCCCGCGCAAGTCCGTCGGGACCCTGGGCGACGGCTGCTTCAAGGGGACCGGCACACTGGTGGCCGCAGCAGCTCCCTGAACTGCGCGGGGCGCGGTCTGCGGGGGGTGGGGCGGGTGGGGCGCCC